AGACGGTAGAGCTGTGAAATCACCAGATGTAAGTTGCACCCTTCTGAGTCACGGTAACATTTCTTTAAGCGCCAGCTGTGTCCCTCGGTTGTGAATAGAAGGTCAGATCGATACATCGAAACAAGCCGATCGTCGTTCTTTGTCTGTTAGCAACGCCAGATTGCACTTCTTTGAGTATGATACGTTGTCTGAATGGCTAATTATGTAATTTTTGACGTTTGTAACTAGTGGTGTAGCGTTTGTAAAGTTAACGGTGAGATGTGATATAACCCCTCCGCCTTTACAGATAGTAGTATGCGTCCTGTGCTGAGGAGGGGCATTGCTCATGGTTTGCGACCCAATCCCTGCCATTAGTGAGTTTGAGAAAAGGAATAGATACGTATCGATTGGCATAGTCGGCGAAAAGAGTTCTTCGTATATCTGCTGACTTCACCCATCGGAAATGTAGACAAAGGTGGGATCTTTCCACCGACACTTATTCAACCCTTTTCGCTGATTCGTCAACATTTCGCTTGCTCGTTGTCTTCCTCATACAATCGATGCGTATCGAATCCTTTTCGCCGATTCTTTTCTACCATTCCTACTGTGCGCTGTCGACGATGCCTGTTGCTTCGAGAGTGCGGTCTCCAGAAACAGTATCGCGTTGGATGCACTGGCAGCTTACTCACCCTTAATCTCACGACGCAGTGTTGCACTCTCCATATCCCGACGATCGAAAGGGCGTGCTCTTGAAGTTAGATTGGAGCGCCAGTTAGGAATGAGGGAGATTTTGACACTCCTCCATATCTTAAGCGCTGCTTTATAAGTACATTTGTTGCTGCGTCGACTTACCGGCAACCGTCTACCGCAATGCTCGGGTTTAGGTTCCTGAATGCGCTCTCCTCATCTCTGAGACATGAGCTATATTTAGGGTTTAACTGAGGACTCATCTGGGCGCTAATCGACTATACTGGGGCATTTGGTGCAATAGCTCGTTGGGGGACTGTATCCGCGACTTTGCACAGTGGTTTTTTGAGTGCTGAACTTCGTTTCTTTATCAGTTTTATTGTGTTGAACACCTTGCTGCTGCGGAGCAACAAATGCGAGTCAAAGCGGTGACTATTTGCCTAATCCTAGGAGGAGGAGCTCCAGTGAAGGTGCGCCACGTCACTTAGCCCGGACCTCGCCCACCTCGACGGGGTGAAAAACCTTTCTTGAGCGGTTGTAGTTAAGATGAACCAAGATACCCAGAACACTGTGCTGGTCTCTTAATTTGTTACTCTGACTGCAGTTTTCTAATGTTGCTGTTTCGTCACTTTTTAAAAGTGTGTTAATACCACTGAAATGATACTTTCGTGATGGGTTTCTAAATGATCATGGTGCAGAACTGGTGTGCTGAATCTGCAGCAACTGGTGTGGCTGAAGTCTTGGGTCCCCCTTCATAAGATCACCTTGCCCGGTGTATCGGTTCGATTATTAGTTTTTTAGAGGCCGCTTGTGTAGTGTCTTAGGCGGAAGGGTGGCGCCTGTTGATTCTTTGGGAGTATTATGGCTCCCGCAGAGTACTTCTGTGTAAGCTATTCTGGGCTTACTGGAATTTATTGACCTGTCAAAGGTGTTCAGTGGTAGAATAGTAGTAGTAGATAGCTCATATATCTGGGCATGCCTCTTTATGTCAGCGACGTCACGCTTAACAAATGTTAGCAACAACAATCTCAAAGCGGGTAATCCAAATGGCTATCCTAATGTTACTTCAAGGAAAGTGCGAGTTCTGGTGGATTACCAGAAGCACACCGCTTGTAAGGCCAAATTGTTTCTGGCGAACACGTTTCCTTTAACTTCTTGTGGCTGCTGGAACCTAACAAAGAAGTGACTGTTTTACGTTGAGAAGTTTTGTGATGCTTTGCTATTTTGCGTGTGTATGATAAAAAGTGTGGTTTCGTTCCTATTGCGCAATCTGAGGTCTGGAGGCGCAGCTGGCGGCAGTGCCACATAGCGTTTCGAAATTCCACGAGATCCTGACGTTTTTGTGCAAGCTTAGCTTGTACAGTGACGGAGCATACGCTGATCGGGCTCGCAAGGCGAACCAAGGCTTTGTAAGTCCTGCGGGCCCCGGGGTTTTTTGGTGGGTCCACTTGGCATCTGGGGCGACAAGATGTCATCACCAACCCCATTTGCAAGTTACTTTGGCCAGGCAGCTCGTTAACGTTCCCTTACCGCGCGGATAACCTTGTGCGTCATGACTTTTTCCGCTCTTGCGGCCCAATTTCCTTACGGTTTTCTTTAGCATCTATTATGCTACGAGTTTCATGAAGCGTTTTCCTAGGCACAAAATATTCAAAGTATTCATAGAAAAGTGAAAAAGCATATGTAATTGCTGATTGTCGGTATGAAAAGTAACGAAATCATGCGGAGATCCTCGCACAAGGCGGTCCGGAATGTGTTAACCACATTGTTTGAAACGTGCCGCATTATGGAATGGTTCTCAATCTTAGCCCTTGTTTGACCATTAATCAATAATTAATATGTATGTATGTAATTAGTAGTTCATTCTATCACCTCTTTCTTAGAAGTGATAGAATGAACTACTAATTACAAGAAAGTGCCAAATGTTTCTCAGCCGGTTCATACAGGTTCCTATTGATGCTCGTGGCACTGCTCTTACTGAGATCTGTTTATTCGGTGCATGTGCTCCTTTGTCTCTTCCTTACGCGATGCTCTTGCTTAAAGTGCGACTCAATTGACGCCGCTTTGTCCGACAACTTTTGTTTACGACTGCTAGGTCGTGTTCAAATGTGGTAGTACCCTCCGCTTCTGATCAAGCAGACTTTCTAACCACTCCGTTCTGCCTTCCTTTTTTTGCCTAAATGCTCGTTTGTTCCTTGCACTCTTCTGTTCAGATTTCGCGCATAGATCTTTCGTGCAATTGTATAGAGTAACTGTGATTGTTTCATATTAAGTATAGTATTCGGCGTTGACTTATCCCTTTTTTGGGGTGCGCCACACATTCTACTTCCATTCAGAATCGTAGTGGCTTATTGAATGCGATGTGGCCTATACAATGACTTGCGGGGCCAGCCGATGTACAGATCAGTGTTTTATCTTCGCAGACGACACTGATACCAACTTACCGTGCCTGGGGATAGGCCCGGGGACGCTAAATTAACCAGATGCTGGCTGGCTCAGACTGTGGCCGAGGGATTTTATCCCGCACGTCAAGCATCACTTGCAAGCTACACCACCTGCACCACCATTTTTTCATTCGTTAGTGGTAAAAGGGTGAGGGTTTCCTTGGCGCTAACACAGTTGAGGAAGACAGGGCTCGTCATACGTTGGAATCCCCGGTGAGTGGGCGTATTTGATTGCGTTAGCAGAGTTCGTCTTTTATATAGAGTTTTTTCTATTGTTGATTTTCCTGTATCACGCGTATCCCCCCCCCCCTTTCCCGTTAGTCGGCGGCGCGAAGCTACTATCTGTGATAGCTGAAGGAAGGTGTCCCTCCGCCACCTCCGCTCTATCTGCTCGACGGCAAACTTATGGCAGTGCTCGATAAAACGGGATTAGGTCGTACCGAGGGAACCAAAATCTACCCCTACTCCTCCCCCCCCACCTCCGCTCTATCTGCTCGACGGCAAACTTGGGCAGTGCTTGATAGAATCGGATTAGGTCGTACCGAAGAAGCAAAATCGGGGATTCAGCAAAAGTTCTCCCCAACAAGGATGTGCTCTAGGAGGTGGGGGGGGGGGGTTGTGGCTACGCGGCAATGCCTCTATGTCCCTGCTCTTGTCTTTGTTTCAACGCAACGCACACGGCCAGAGCAAAGAACCAGTATTGTCGTGGCATCTCGCAGTGGAAACATGACCGTGAACCCACGCATCCTCCATGCTACGTTTTTGTTGTTTTGTTTTCAATAAATTAGAAGGAATAACTGCCATTGTGGATAGCTTGCAGTGCGAATTTCATTTAGTGGAGATATTGTAGTAGTGAGTGTGCCGCCTACCTTGTCGAGCGGTCAGATATCGGGTCGACTTCTACCCGGACACCAAGCTTCCGGAGTCGGTTTATTGGTGCCAGGCTTGTTTGGAAGGATAAAAACACTTTAACGACAGCTGCCCCTCCCTCGCGTCATTGTGTGAACTGCATCGGATCCAGAATGCCTCTACTTTTCCGAATAGATGTCGAATGCATGGCGCATCTCAAAAGAAATTGACCAATGCTCAAAGCTCAAGCGATTGATTTCAGCTATACTAGTAAGGAATTCAAGATTCCTCTTTACTCGTTTTCACATGGACAGTGATGATGATGATCTACAAGTGATTTACGAGAGCTGCAATGGTGTTGCAAAAGTAGGAAAGGAAGAAATAAAAATACAGAACAAACAGGTAACTGAGGCAATGTTCTAGGTTGCTTGGGCAACACTTTTACTCAAATTGTTTTTGCAATTTTGACAATAATACTGGGGAAGGAGCATTCAAAGATTCCTTGTGCAACAGTGAACAACAGTAAACAAGAACTTACCAGGGAAGTCCGCCAACTTACCATGGAACTTTGAGTGGAGACCGAGAGAGTCTATTTACAAATAGATAGCAGACCTGCAACCTGCATTCCTGGAGGCTTGGTGGTGAGCTGTGAAGCATAAGCGTGAAACAGGGTACAGCATCCTTGTGTGAAACACATGGGGGGTCGTACTTTTGCTCTGGGGAGGGGGGGTCGTATTTGGGGTAAGACAAATTTATTTTGATAGTTGATTTTTTCTTGTGGAAAAGTGGGATCAAAAGTGTGGATCTATCCAGGTCTCCATTCAAAGTTCCATAAAAAGTTGGCGGACTTTCCTGGTTAGAAATGAGCACATTAGCCTGACACTAAAGGGCAGGAGTAATGGGGTTGATTGACCGATTTGAAGGACAGTACTTCTGTCTGGAAGACGTTAGTACCACTTTGCTCAGAGTCCTTTGAATGCCCCTCTTAAGTAAATGTGCCCAACCCTTGACTGAATAGTAATGCCTTTGCAGGATGATGATTCATCAGAGAACTGTAGCTCTTCCGCTTCGGCTGGTAGCAATGCTCAGACTGAGTGAGTTTTCGACGATTCTTTCACAGGCGTATATAGAGGTAGGAGGCTCCAGCGTGGTTGGTGGTAACCACTTCCTCGCACCTTTCTATTAAGGCTTAGGCTAAAAGCTTAGGCTAAAAGCACGCAGAGTGGAATCGCCAAGAAATGGTTTCGTAGAGGAGACATAATTTTCGCTAAGCGTAAGCTTTATTTTGGAGGAGGGACACAGAGGCCCTGTCGTGGCCTCCTAATCCCACTAAGATACTGCTATGTAGAGACTGGTCAGTTACTCTTCTTCATCCGCCGTTGAACGGCTGGCTAAACAACACTACAGATAGTTGGCCCCGCCCGAGAAAAAGCATGCGTGTCGGATTTGGTTCCTTTTGATGTTATTATTTGCAGTAACGGCGAATACCAGATTTGGCGCAAAGAAGATGGTCTCTTGGAGCATTTATACCCTTCCAGCTCAGCTACGGTACGCTTCCTGACAACGCTTTCTTTTTTTCTTCGTAATCGAACTACTTTCAGCTCAAGTTTTTTTTTTGATTTTTTTTTATTCATTTTTCTTCCTCAGTTTTCAATAAGGCTATGAACTCATATTTGTGCATGTTGGAATGTGAACGCTGAGCGCCGAAGCAATATATACCATTTTCACTTTAAATCGGACACTTTTCAAACCAAATCGGACACTTTTCAAATCAAATCGGACACTTTTCAAATCCAAATCGGACACTTTTCAAATCAAATCGGACACTTTTCAAATCAAATCGGACACTTTTCAAACCAAATCGGACACTTTTCAAACCAAATTGGACACTTTTCAAACCAAATCGGACACTTTTCAAACCAAATCGGACACTTTTCAAACCAAACGAAAACAAAACTTTTTTTCAAAAAATCAAATCGGATACTTCTCAAATCAAATGGGACACACCCCTTACAATGGGCAGCTGAGAACTAGACCACACTAGGTACTGCTGCAAGCCCCGCCAAAAAACACCCCCCCCACTTTTTCAGGTTTTCCAAAATTTTCGGTCACAGTTTTCCAAAATGTTTTATGAAATCTGCTTCTTCGAGTTTTTTTCCACTTTCGCTAGTTGCGACAACATTATCAATTTTGAAAGGATGGTTACCGAGCATATCTGGCAACTCGCCCACATTCCCAATCAAGTGACGTATGCTCTGAATTTTTAAAACTTTTCGACGTAACTTTTTTTTCACATTCCATCTTCGCAAAACGAATATAGCCATGCATTTACACACTAGCACAGGGCCCCGCCCCTCTGAACACACCCACCTTCGTTTTTTCGCGGAATTTCTATTTTTCTACCTAATTTTCGCTTTCTTAGGCTCTGACAAGCGGCCCCGCCCACTGATGGAAGCTCCGCCACTTTGTAGAAGCCCCGCCCACTTTCAAAAATGATGCAGGTCGGCGAGCTAGTGACCGTACTAGCAGGTTATGGCCTCTCCCGTCACCCGGAACAAAGTTTCGCATTTTCCCGGTCTTTCCCTTTTTTTCCATTTCTACGCTTTTGGAGAAGAGTATGTAGACGGCAGGTACAGCGGTACCGAACCGCCGCTGATATTCGACGCCGGCGCTAGTGCTCTTGTAAGAGTCGTAAGCACGTGGCTTGCGCGCGCGCGTCGCCGAAATGTGAACATCTGCTTCAGCTGATTACAAGATTTATCAAGGGATACTAGCTATGATACAAAGCCAGGACAGAACCAAACCATTCGTTGTCTCATTGTTTGGGGCGTTAATTGAAAGCAGGCTAAATACAGTTGGACATCTGATCACTACAGGACTTACAATATTTTCATCAGCGCCAGTTGTGTATGGCGATACTCCCATGTTTCAATCCCTAACAGGCTCAAATGATCAAACGTATTGCGGGAGATCAGAACAACTTCATTAGGGAGCTAAATGGTGCGCGACTAGGTTGTCGTTATGACGTATACAACTCCAGATGCCGCCTAGAAATAAAGGACATTGAGTGGTCTACTATTAGAGGAAGCGGACGCATCTCCAGTTTTGCTATTCTCACGGTGGACCTATTGAACTTTAACGATCTTTTATCGCTCAAACGTGTGTATCGGTCAGGGAGGCACTGTTGAATATAACCTTGCTAAAGCGAGGCTGAATAGTAGGCGTCATTTCTCTACTCACAGAGCCTTACCTTCATGAGCTAAGTAAAATCGAATAGCGCGTAATTACAGCCCAATAATCAAGACACTAGTTGGCATAATGCTTTGAAGTCAGTATGAGCACTATATTATTGAAGATTCACGTTATTTTCGGTTTGTTATTGTTGTTTTAAACATTCACTGAAAACGTTTCTCAGGTGTTGGTATTAGATTGTCCTTATACACACACACACACACACACACACACACACACACACACACACACACACACACACACACACACACACACACACACACACACACACACACACATTTAGTATGTTGTCTGTAATAATTACTGAATATCCATCAGGTGAGCGTGGTGCTGCCCCATTCTGACGCAGTATATTAGCCATCCTCTTTCTGTTAAAATGGAATTAGTCGATATTCTCAATGCTGAGGACGATTCTTCATCGGTTGAGTTGCTACAGGAGGATAGTGATTCCACAATTTCTGTTGACACTGAAAATCACTATAAAGATCCGGTAATTGACATTGAAAAATCGATTCCTTTTCAGAGGAGTGTACTTGACAATGCATAAATTTTTAGACTCCTCACGTTGACTCGTCAAAAATGAGAGACTCACTCGTATTCATCTAGCAATTGAAAAAGCTGTCAGATTCTGACGAAGAGTACGCAACTGCAAAGTAGAAAGTTCAAAGTTCCTGAGACTTTCTTCCGTTGAAACGAAATCAGGGTAAGCAGAGAATTTCATATCAGTTGTTTTACTGCTGATTCATAAGAATCCTGCGTGAAGAGTATGTGACATTGACTGACACCTATGTAGAATGCCTATTTTTAGTTCTTCATGGATGTTCAGGGTAGTAACCGGACGCCGACTTCCGCTGCCTCTTCTCACAAGCTCAGTGCGGCTACGCAGTCGTCGTAAGTTGGAATCTTGATTGAAAGTGGTGCTTCATCTTTGCTGTTTCGCTGAAGGCTGTTGCTATCAAAGGATGTCAATGTATAATCACGTTTATCACCGCCTAATTACTTTCTTTGCGTCAGGTCAACGTCGTCTGCTGCAGATGTCTGGCGGGAATCGTACCGATCACCAAGGAGCACTTGCTCAGCTGACAGTGAATACTCGTCTCAGCTTCCCTTTTTTATGGGGGTGCGTTATTTGTCCTGCTTTTTCATTGGAACAAGGGCACGCCCTGCCGTCGAGGAATTTTGCAAAATTCGACGCCCCTCGAAATCTCCTCTCATATGGCAATCCTCCTTTCCCCGCCCCCATCCTAACCTACCACTCTGCACTCTACAACTCACCCGATGTTCCTACCACAATACCGCAGTTTTTTCAGACAATCATTTACCAAACTTTTCAGACCATCCTTTACTAAACTCCTTGGTGAGAGTGGTTGGCTGGGCGGTGAACGGTTGGGAAGGGGGCTTTCCCCAGAAGGAAATTGCGGAAAAAGGGATTTTATAGCGCGTTTGCAACAGGTGAAACAGGACGGGAAAGCCATCATCACTTTGTTTACAGGCCTATAGTTCGAGAAGCGTAGCAAGCAGTTTCCTCAGAGATGTTGATCGAATGCGAATTGCTGAAGAATCCAGTTCTCGAGCTAAAACTCCACAACCTATCTCACTTGACGAAGTTTCATCCTCTTCGGATCTCATTGGAAAACAGGTTAGTCACTACATGACTACTGAACTATGTTTATTTCGTGGGATTTTCGTTCGTATTAGTTATTAATGGAAGATTACAGAGTTTGATACGATGTTTCTTCGAATGTTTACCCTTTTTGTACCACTCTATAGCGTCTGTTTCTGTTTCGTCACTTTGCACTTTGGCGTTTTTTGCACTTTTGCTCGCGCTCGGCAAGGGAAAATCGCGTTCAAATACGTCTAAGTGGGCGCTTCCTTGCAGCCACGTTTGTTTTTCGAGTGTCGCCATGCATGTTCTTGAAATACAGTATTGGGGAGGCAAAAACCCTTGGTTCATGGAGCGTACTCCGATAACTTATTTCACACAACATGCCATGATCGGACAGTTAATACTTGAAAAAGGCGCCCTTCCTCAGTCCCTATATGTATAAAATCTGTCCTGACGTGCTCAATCACAGCAGGGCAAGTCATGCCGTTGGAGAAATTTTTGCTGAACACGACCCCTCCCCCTCAGCAGTAGAGCTTTCCCTTCTGTTACGACCCCCTTCCCGTTGCCCCGATCTACCAACCGCAATCTTCCTGAACTTCCCCAATAGTTCCAGTGTTGAATCACTTTTTTTCACTTCTTCTCCAAAAAAAAAAGGCTGTGGAAAGGATCGGGGAAAAATAGCACCCGTGAGATGTGTAGCCGAAAGTAAGTCAACAACCGAAACTACTTTCCTCCAAGGCAAATACGACCCCCTCTCCTGCGACAAAAAATGACGACCTCATGTTTTGAGAATCCGCAGTACGACCTTGGCCTGACCTTCCGGGGCGCTTGAATCGAAGCCTGAGTTAATCATGGAAAGCAAATCGGCCTAAAGCAACCCTTTGAACGGCGGCAACGGGTAAGCCCTGCATGCCAGAGCGACAGTCCTCGCTTAAACCGCAACGCGAGTGACTGAAACACTGTAGAGATTTGACGTAGTTTGCCTTGAGGGTGATACAAGTTTAGGAGGCCTTCTTGAACTCGGCATGATGAATGCCTACACCTTGACGTTTCGCGCAGGCAGTGGTGGGGCTTCCTTATGGAACTTCCCAGGACTGTTTTACGGGGTCTCTCATGTACGTTCTCATCTTGTGTGGTGTGAACTTTGATGGTCCTTCCATGAGCAAGAACAGTTTTTGACCTTCTTTAGTGTGCATAGTGACCGACAGCCATTGATAGGGAAACTCTGTTACCACGAACATTCTGATATCGGTCTTTCTCCAGTGTAGTTTTCTACAAAGAAGTAAAACGTGTATTACGAATTTCCCCAAAAAATGAAAAGCAAAACAAAAAAATATATGCTATGAAGGTATCTGGCGTGGAAGATGAATTGGCTATGGCAGCTAGATGGGCCGAGGATCACGATCTAAGGATTTACGATGGTGATGAGTTCCTGGAGTGTGAAGACGAGGGGATCCTCCGAAAAAAAAAAAAACAAAAAAAAAAAAACAAAAAAAAAACAAAAAAAACCTAGTTCACGTACGTGAACCATTGATTTCATCTCTAATATGTAATTAAAACTTGATTCACTGCATCGCTGCTGGTATATGAATAGCCGAGGAGGCGGGGTAGCAAAAATCGAAAATGGAAGTCTTGGGATATGTTTCCTATGGCTTTCGTGATTTCGAACTTGGCAAATGGAACTATTGTTTGATTATGATCACTGAATAAGGTTGATTATAGGTAGTGCGCAACCCGAATCTAGTGAAAAGAGGAGATCAGAAGATACAGCCAAAAGAAAGGTCTCAGTTTTCGCTTTGTGATCGTTTTTTTTGTAACGAATTTTTCGAATCCATCACCTTTCTGACAGCACTTCCTTTCTTTACACCTGTTTTTAATATCTTTAAGGAGTATAAGTCCAAGGTGTAGGTTTCCTTTGCCGATGGGTCTGGATATTAGGGTGTTGCTCAGCTAGCCTATATCGTTAGTGACATGTCGCGGTGACGACGCCGTATTAGGCCGTATGAGCGAGCTAACTGTGCGATTTTCCCAGCAGGACCCAATCGATTCAACGTGACGGTACTGTGTAGCATCGGATCGAACCGTGACGGTATGGTAGCGGGCGCAAAGGCATTCATGAAACATCTGCTAATTCGTTCGTGATGCCGCGGTTCAGAACTAGCGAAATACATGCCTCGTTCAGCACCTTTGAGTTGTGCGTTGCGAATTTGCATGCCCGGTGTTCTGACTAGGACTGAACTGATCTAGCATGAAAATAGTATACCCTACTTGATTGCATCCTTGTCTAATACAGGACAGAATAAAGGTTGTCTACAATGGGGACATTCTTATGAGAACCGCATCCTATGAAATTTACAGATAAAGTATGCGGTCATGCCTTCCCCTTCTCCGGGATATGGAGCGACATACAGCACCACAGAAGCCACACATTGCAGAAGCAGTCACGAGTAGCACGCTTACCTCTCTTTTCTACTGCCCTTACGGGTTCCTGTCAGGCATGTTCTGTGGTGGAAAAGTGTTTTGTGGAACGGCCAACAGTCTGCCCTATACAGAGAAGCTTCCTCACCATAACTTGATTGTCTAGTTCTTGATGGAAATGCTCCTCAATCTCTCCTGGAATCAAGAGTTCATCGTCCTTTTCTGTTTTTGGAGCGAAAGTCAGGTATTTTATTAAAACGTGTCTTCATAATTTTCAGAGGGAGAGCCGACCAAATATCGCGTCGCGAACACAAACAGGCATAAATTCTGTTGGACCAGAAACATCCGATCGGGACAAGGTTAGTTGGTCTTCTGTATTGTCTGTGGTCAATCATCCTAGAAGTGATTATTCTTCTCGGAGCTATATCCATAACTGCTCAAAAAGTACGCTGTTCTCATTGAACTGCTATAGTTTTGCAAATTTAGCTGTTGCTGGGATTTCAGGTTGGAAGTACTTCAAAGCATAAGGTCGACTCTACAAGGACATCAATAGAAAATGCTCGGAAGAGGGTTGGTGACATTTTGCTCGTATTAGCTCCTCACGCATGCAGTACACTCGTGTTCGCTGTATGGATCGGATGCTGGGGGAGGGGGTGTTAAGGGAGGGGCTTTGGCGCGATGCCAGCCTGTTTTCCATCAGTCAGTTGTTGTCGCTTGCTCGCATCATTGCTTGGCGGAGGACGGGCTGGCCCCGTGCCAGAGCCGGCCCCTCGACACGCCCGAATAGTTCAGCATTGGCAGTACTCAGCATTCAAGATTTGGGCACTAGTACTTAATCAACTTTTTTCCAGAATAGCTCACCAATTCAACGCAACCGTTCGTTGTCCCGTTCACGAGGCCAAGAGCGAAAACGTTTTGCATCTGATAGGAGTAGTGAGAAAAGTACGAACTTATCGGGTGGCTTCAGGCTTTTTCGAAGTTCCAGATGGCTATAAATAAGCGCTTGTTTTTTAGGAAGAGAGGGGAGGCAATCGCGTTGCCGCGAATCGTCGCCTCGCTCTAGCCATACAAGAACCTCTACCACCAGTTCGAGACTTTCTGCCAGTTCCGCCGAGAAAGCTCACAATCTTCCTCGCTATTTGCCCGTCGAACGGCGATACGACTTTACTCGATGGCTTGACTCGGATGGAGGTATTTACTGAACTAGTGGACTAGGATACTTTGTAAAAAAGTTACTGATTCGCTTGTCAGTGAAACGAAGCCTCTTTTCGTTTCTATCTGATTGCGCAGACGTCTCTGCTTGCAGAACTCGTTCTCCACAAAGTGAAAGACGTCGCTACCGGACTGGTGTCAGCCCCACTGGGCTGCACGTATGACTCGGCATTGGATACGTTTGTGTTCACTCGTCATGACAGTGTGGGTTTCATTTCATCGAGTTGATAAATATAAATGACCACAAAGCAATTTTTTTGTAAAAATGAATTTAAGTTAGGCAATTGAATCCAGTGGGCTGGTCCTCACCATCGTCACGGCCTTTCGCCATTGATCCCTTGCGTAACGGAATTCCTTCTCAAGAAGTTCGCTTATCGTTAGCTGTAAGCCGTAGAAATTGAACCAGATTCCAAATCCTTTGATATTTTTGATTTCTTCTCATCCCAGGGTCGGAGCAAATGACTCTGAGATGGGGCTCTGGCGGGTCTGCACTGCGTTTTAAAGGTGCTTTCCCTCCTAGCCCGTATTCTCCTCTCAAAAGAACTTGGCGTTGTGAGGCTAGAGAGTATAGCGGCGACTGGCTTGATCTCATTTCTAAATTAGGGCTGCATCCAGTTTCCCTCTCGATTCGTCTGACAGGGTGCAGAAATAGTTAGCATAGCTTCTTCATCGCACTTGGGTAGTATTCGCCAGTTCCCGCTTCCCTCGCACGCCGTATGTGGTCCATCGCCGGGGAACGTTGTAGATGTTCACTGATGATCTCTGAAGGCAAATTATACACTTACCTTCTGGTATCCTGCTACCTGCCATGTGTAATGTGAATGGATTTGTAGTTGCAGTAGCATGTCCACTTCTCCGCTCAGAATTGCACAAGAGCGGGTCTGGAGAGTAGTGGTACCCGGGTGCAGTCTCGACACTTCGCCGCGCTGTCGCACCGCCAGGCACACACGTAACTATACTACTTGTCTGCGCCTTTCACTCCTGTTTGTTTGCCCGCTGTGTGCGCGTTTCGCTGTGGGATCATGGCACCTAAGCAGGTAATGCCATTGAGAATAGTATGGAGACGGCGCTTGGTATCGCGACCCTCCAGCCTGGTTCTACTGCGCCTTTTGAGCGGAGAAAGTGGCAGGCTGCTCCAGGTGCGGGCCCATTCACCTCGCGCATGGAAAGACGGCCCTTGAAGGTAAATGTGCAGTTTGTCTTCAACCACAGCTCACCTTCACGTCGCCACCCTGAAACCGAAAATGCAAAAAGAAAAATGAAAAGGGTGCACACTATTATTTTATCAACCTAATAGATGTATTTCGCCAACTTTGGTCGGAACGATTTTTTCTAGTTTATTTGCATGTCTGCAGTCATGTTTTGCTAAGCGGAGTATTCTCCTTTTTTTGCAGATACTGTTTTCAACCAGCGATGGTCGGCTCCTAGACAATCTTACTCTGAAAGGATTCGATCAACCTTGCGCTATTTGCGTCCTTCGGCCGGGTGGTTCGTTTGATATTGGTGTATTTCTTTCGTTTCAGGTTTTGAGAGCACTAGAATGTTAATTGCATTTAATTCACACAAGTTTCAGTGTGTCTTATGGGCGTTTCTGTCCGTCATTATCAATTCATTTTTTTCTAGCTGCCATTGGAATACTCGACCGATCGAACTTGTATCTTTATGAGCCGAAAATGAAAGCGTCTCAGTATCATTAGCGAGTGGGCTCGCAGCTCGCCATCGAGGTGAATTTCTCTTTTTCCAGATAATGTTTCAAATTTTTCTGATACTGTTTTCGGGGCTAAATTTGCTGGAGCAGTTTTTCAAGGCCAAATATTTCAGCACTGTCGTACACTTGCAACGGTGACTTCATTACGGTGAAGAAATTCGGCCGCCCAGCCTGTCCTGCCAACATATCTTTGACTGGCTACTGAGCATAATAGGGTATGTAAGAATCTATTAGCATCATTTTTGTTATAAAGGAAATGCTCATTAATAGAGTGACGCTGTTATGAACTAGTCCTGGTCCTGGATCGCCATATGCGCGCTGAAAGGCAAATTATCATGATAACAAAGTGTTGCTTTCGTTTCAGATTATTGGAAGTTATGTTTTTCCCATGTCCGAAGGCATGCGCCAACTCGAACGCTCAGCCATGAGCTTTTGCGGATAGTACTGGAAGTCAGATTTTCTTCACGGATCTTCGTGAGTTCATAGCGGTCAATAAAAGTTTCTGTCAGGAAGCATTCCATTTCAAAACAATCTATAATTGCAGGGACTAATACCCTCACGTGCATGGAAATGGTTGGAAATCGGCTTGAAAAAGTATACAGTCGGTGTATGCAACAGTTACCTGCACATCGTGGAGAAGAAGCTCTGAAACGGTGTGTTCACTTAGTTAGTAAAGTGTACAACATCAATCAGTTCCCTGAAGAGCACCTGGCCTTTCAATCCTTTTTGAAACGGTAAAATTGGATATTATGCGTGCATTACGGGGATCAGTGCGGTGCCATTGCACTGAAAACTAGCTTTGCTAACTAGCTGACTCGACTTAACATTTTGGCCTGGCGTCACATTTTATACCATTTTTTCTGCTTCAAAATTCAACAGCCTTTTCAAAACGTACATTCACATCCTTTTCAAATATAACGACCTTTCAAAGCACATTCACATCCTTTCAAACCAAATTCACCACTTTTCACAAATTCACACCTTTTTCCAAATCAAATTAACCACACTTATTAGGGCGGGCAACTCATCAACCAGATCACGCCAGACATCACTGCGAGCCCCGCCCCGACGGCCACGCCTACTTGTCAGCGCGGACATAGATTTTCAAATCTTGTTTCATAACTTCTGCTTATGTGACTTTTCTTTTTTGCTGTTTCCCACAAACACTTTGACTGAAAACGACCGGGCATTGACACATGGCCGACTCCGCCCATTCTCTAAAGGGTTTGGCAATCTAGGCTGACCACGCCCACTTGCTTTTCGCGGACTTTTGAAATTTTTAAAAATGTCGCATTTTAGACTGCTGCTGAAGCCCCGCCCACTGTGAGAGGCTCCGCCCACTTTGAAGAAGCCCCGCCCACTTTTCAAAAATGGTGCAGATCGGCAGTATAGAGCCTTGGCTTGCATGGCTAGGGTATTGCTGGTCATTCGGAACAAACTTTGCCTGATTTATTTGTTCCGAGTGACGGACGAGACCCTAGCATGCAAGCCAAGGCTCTATACTGCCGATTTGCACCATTTTTGAAAAGTGGGCGGGGCTTCTTCAAGTGGGCGGAGCCTCTCACAGTGGGCGGGGCTTCGTGGAGCAGTCCAAAAATGCAAAATTTTGAAAAAATATCAAAATTCAAAGCAAGTGGGCGTGGCCAAGGGGGCGGAGCCTGAATTGCCGGTGCATGAATGCGCGGTTACGAGTATCTTCGTTGTGCAAAGAGTGGATGTGAAATCAAAAAGTTGAAAAAGTTATGAAATTTCGAAGTTCGCAACAAACCCTTTAAAGAATGGGCGGAGTCGGCCATGTGTCGATGTGTTGAAAATCTATGTCCGCGCTGACAAGTAGGCGTGACCGTCGGGGCGGGGCTCGCAGTGGTGTCTTGGCGTGGTCTGGTTGGCGAACTGCCCGGTTTAA